AAACTTCCACTCCTAATCTCACCCATGGAAAGCCGAATTTGATGCATGGATATCTCACACAGTAGTGGCGGACCCAGAAATTTTACGTAGGATTGTTCTCTTTCAAAAAATAAATTAAAATAAACATAATAATTAATAACAATTAAATAAATATTAACTAAAATTATACCCAACTCTTACAAGTGAAAAAAAGTCCATGATGTATTTTTCGTATTCTGAAACAATTGTAAAATACACTTGGTGTCTACACTGCTCAACAAGTAGTCTGCTATATCCTACTAGACAATCATTCATGAACAAACGCATATTCGACTTTTAAATTTGTTCTTTATGTAACTCAAAGCTGAAAAGACACTTTTAACACTTGTCGTACAACCATAAAATAAATACAAATTAAGGATAGCTTGGAATTAGATTAGTTGTTAGGTTTTGAATATAATTATAGATAGAGAATAGGGTTTTGCTATTACATACAGGGGTGGAGCTACAGTTGGTCTGGGGTGGCCGAGAATCGTGAAAGTTACGTCTAAACTACTTCGATATTTTGAAAATTTCGTAAAAACTAAAAAAGTTCTAATAAGTTTAGTGTGCAAATTTGAAAAAGCAAAGTAGGCTTAGTCAAGTGGGGACAAAGTGAGTTATGACTCAACTCGTTGAGGGTTTGATACCCAACCTTTGCGATTTTGTTACTTTTTATTTGCTTCTATTTTAATATATCTACATAATTACTCTTTTAAATCTTGACTCATTTAATTAGATATAATTACTCTTTCAAGTTTCATGTTATGGTTTCTTCATTTCATTATTTCAATATTGTCTATTGACTCAATTAATTTCAAGTTTAGTTTTTTTTTTTACCACTTTGCAATTTTATATCACTGAAAAATTATCCATTTTGACCTTTCATAAGTTAGTCTACATCAATATTTTGACTCTAATCACCTAAAATGATTAATCATAATACTATTAAAAGTAAAATTTACTTTGATTGTCTTGCTTAGTTTTTAATTTTTTTATCACCTTTTCGCGGTAAGAGTATTAAATAATTTTCGGCCCCCGAACGTCAAATCCTAGCTCTACCCCTGATTACATAGTGATTAGAATAGAACAACAAAAAGTTGTAGCCTAATGGAAATTATATTTATTAATAATAGTAGTGTCTAGGGTTTGAATTAGCCAAACTACCACTTATATTCCCATATGCAAACTACAAATGAGAATAGGATAATATTTTTTCAAATTTCAGAGTGTCCCGAACTATTAATTATAATTTTTTTATCCATACATAAATTACCGCCGGGAGTTGGATAATCATTTTTCCATAATTTAGGGGTGTACCCGGACACCCCAAATGGCCCTGGGTCCGCCCCTATCGCCCAGTTCGACTGTACCTAGTGAGAGGGAGGACAAATGGGTCAAAATTGGAACCTAAAATAGAAGTGCCCCGAGCAAGGTATTCAAACCAGTTTAAACCTTTGAGCCAGTGAAGCAAATAATTTAAGATTTCTTGATCGGATTGGGTTTGATGTCATTTTATATGGGCTTAATTGCAAGTTTGGTCACTCGAATTGCTATAAAATTTCACATTTGCCACTCAAATTAATTTATTCCATTTATAGTCACTCGAATTAGTTGAACAGTTCAAGTTCGGTCACTCTCCGTTAACCTCCGTTAACTTTGACTGACGTGGCGGTCAACTCTGACAGTTGACAGTTAAATGTGTGATGTGGCAATTAAAAAATAATTTTTTAAAAATTACACGTCATTATCACAAAAAAAAATTATAATTGTAAAAAATGAAAAAAAAATTATTGATTTAAAATGAACAAAGGGGATGTAATTTGGCACGTAATACACTGTACTTTAACAACTAGCACCGGGCCCGGCCCCTTGGCCGGGAAAGTCTAGACAAAAAATATGTTCATATAACATGCTTACAATATAATAGGAAGATACGACATATCACTGAAAAAAGAAATATAATTGTTCAAAGAAGAAAAGAAAAACATACAAAATAATAGGTTTTCAATACTTAAAAATGGCAAATAGTTCAAGATTAGAGTTGTTTTTCCTAAAACATACATAATGAACCCTCAGAAGGAAAGAAAAAGATTGGTCTCTAACAGATTTTAGGAATGAGATCATTTGTAACCCTAATTAATGTCTAACAGATACACCCATATTATTCCTCTTCATAGAAAGTAGAATAAGGATCAGCTGGTTTGGAAGCATGCTAGTCGTAGTCCCCGAAGATGCCTAGAAAATAGTCCGGGTTCTCAAGAGAGCTTCAAACTTAAGGCTGAGTGCAACTAATTTTGAATTACATATGTTTGTCTTTGTCAGTGTTGCTGATACTTTCACTGACTACTTTGATTGGTAAGTTGACCATAAATAATAGGGATATACCTTATTTTGACCTTGAAGTTTGTCGTAAAAGCCAAACTTGACATGAACTTGCAAATAAGACAGTTTTTCAAAATTTTGAAAGAAATGGACAAATTTGGACTGAAATTTATGTTGTTCGTTAATATTAAAAGTTAAAAATTTCTTCATCCATTCAACATACAATGCTCAGGTGGTTGCGATTGCGATGTGGCTTCCATGTCATAGGGATGATACCTTATTTTGGCATGAACTTGATGTAAAAGACAATTTTGGCTCGAATTTTCAAATAAGATAGGTTTGTTTGCACTTTGAAAGAAATGAACAAATTTGGTCCGAAATTTGGGTTGACCTTTAATATTGACAGTTGTGATAGAGAGGTTTCGGTTGCGATGTGGCTTCCAAGTCATTTATTTATAAAGTCTAAAAAAGTGAATTTTTCAGAAGAAAAAAAGACCACAAAATAGGACCCTTAGTATATCCTAATATTTTCATATTTACTTGCATAAATCATATTAAAAGGAAAAAGAAATTGATTCAGGCCCCCAAAAATCCCAAAGCACGAAGCTATCTCTCTTTGTACCCCTCTCATCAATATTAACGGCAACCTAAATTTTGGGTCAAAGTTATTCATTTCTTTGAAAATTCGTACAAAACTGTCTTATTTGAAAGTGTAGGGCAAAATAGCATATTATACCTATGACGTGAAAGTCACACCACAGTCACCTTAACATTGTATGTTGAGTCATAAAAAAAAGAAATGTTTGACCCTCAATATTAATAACCGACCAAATTTGTTAATTTCTTTCAAATTCGGACAAAACTATCTTATTTGAATGTTCATGCCAAAATTGTTATTTACATCAAAGTTCAACACAAAATAGGATATTATCCCTAAATAATATAGGAGTACTAAAAATATTGGACTAATGAAGTTCAAAATGTTTCAAACAACATACAACCCTGATAAAACTGCAGTCCAACCAACTAACATTTAGAACAAATGACTTTCCAGCAGGATAACACAACTATAAGTATGGGTGGTTCTATCATATTTTGATTAAGAAAATGACATAAGGAAATGATATATAGACCTTGAATGATATACTCTGAGTATGAAAATGATGTCTAGTGGCCGGAGCTAGGGACATGGTACTATACCTTAAGCCCTTACAGATTAAAATCTAGGTCTTAATTCTATGAAGCTCATATACTAAGATCAATTTTATTAGAAACAATAATCGAAGGTCGTGTTTCATCAAAATACATCAAAAAAATTATGTGCATAATCTTAGTGTTTAGGGCAAGGATTGAAAACCCTTAACGTACCGGGGGTTCGACTAAACCAGTAGGCACTATGTAGTGTTGTGAAACGACTGAATCACGGTTAACCACAGTTTTCGCATAAAATACCCTCCTGCCGACTTTTTCGGTACAACCTCTGATGAGGTTTTATAATCCTTGGTTTAGGATCTATGATTTAAATAGTTAAGACCTAGAGTTCACTCGTCAAGGGTTAGAATATAGTGTCTCGTCTCGAAATCAGGTTAATTCAAAGTCTAGATTGCCATTTCTTACCAAGGGTATGAGTTACCTTTTGATTTTACTCAAAAATATGATAGAAAACACTACACACACACATACTGGTATACTACAAGAGTATAGTATACTGGTATACTCCAAGAGTATAGTATACTCCACATGATCTAGACATTAGATGTACTTTGTTGAGCTCCAATCAATCTCAATGGTCAATTATAATTTTCCATTAAATTAAACTTTGGGTTTGAGTTTAGAGAATCGGGGCCTGGGGTTTATCCATTAGAGGTTAGGGTAGAGTATCATACCCCAAACTCGGTTAAAAATCATGGTCTAGATAGAGATATCTCACGAAGAGTACCTGAAGTATAATATACTCCAGGAGTACACCAGTCTGACCCATATATATGTGGTTGTGTGTGCACATATATATTTAATATTGTAATTTGATATGCAATATTCGAATAAATGATATTTGGATTGCGGTTTTAAGATTATCCTCAATTTATAAGATAGACTACCATTATTATTGAAGTCAAAATAAAATAATAATAAATGATAATCAAAGATCCAACACTAAAAATGCTTAAGAAAGACTTAGTGGGGTAGCTAACTGTGCTGGAAAAGTCATTTGATTTTCAGAATTTTGCCTCTTGTATGTTTGTTTTATAAATAAATGCAACAAATTTGTTTAGTCTTATTGGTTATGACTCTTGTCCTTGTTAGAAGAGACTCGGGTTCAAATCTTGACACTGATATTTTTTTCAAATAAAAAAATAAACAATTGCAATGACGAAAGTACCCTTCCTACTTTCACTCTCGTTGCAGAAAATTTGAAATGGAAGAAAGTTGAGTCATGAATCTCCATCATATATCTTATAGATTAACAGTAAACGGTCAATCCGGTCATATCACTGATTTTTTTTAGTTTTGCCCGGCTACTAGGTTGAAAGCAAAATGACTACTGAAGGCCATTTTGAACTGACTCGGGTCGGACCAGGTCCAACCGATCGGCTGGACCAGGGCTTGACAACACTGGCCACGAGTCCAAGTTGGTGGGCCCCGCTATTCGTATTTCTCTCTCACGCACTCCAACGAGAAACCGGTGAAAGAAACCGACGACACGGAAACCCTCCTTTCCTTCCCCCTTTTCATTCCTTCCTTCGCCCCCATTTCCCTCTCTTCTCCTCTCTCTGTCTCGGCTTCCCACTCGCCCAGCAAGCCAGCAACAATGGTGTCCGACTCGGAGCTCATCGGCAGGCTGCGGGAGTTCCTCAAGAATTCGGACCTCGAGACGACCACCAACACCATCGTCTGCCGGAAACTGGAGGAAGACTTCGGGGTGAATTTGTCTGATAAGAAGGGTTTCATCAGAGAACAGGTCGACTTGTTCCTCCAATCCCAGTTCGAGGAACAGGCGGCCGAGGTTGTAGGCGACAATGGATACGAAGAAGAAGGAAGCGCCGCCGATGATCGGGAATCGAGGGTACAAGACGGCGATGAAGTGGAAGAAGACGAGGAGGAGGAAGAAGAAACAGTAGGAAGATCGAGTAAACGGAAGACTCGTGCCAAAGGCAGGTTTGTTCAGGACTAATTCCTTTTTTCGATGAATTCACTGATTCCATTTCTCTTCCTTGCTTGCATTATTAGGTTGCTGGAAAAACTTGTTTCCATGGCGGTGTTGTTAATTCGGTTTATTGATTTTTAGGTCATATTTTGAATTACTACGTACTCTCAATGGCGGGGTTGTGGGCTGATCTCAAATTTGTGTGCTTACATGAAGTTGTGGATAATTGTGGCTTTGAATAGTTGAAAGGGGAACACTTTTTTTGCTGGCGTGCAAATTAAAGGTTTTGCTTGGAGGATTGATTATGTCGGGCTGGGATCAGGTGACTAAGGGGGGTCCCCTTAGTCACATGACTAAGTGAATCTTAGCCATACAAGCTCATTAAAATCCAAGAGCTCCTATTAATCCAATTTAATAAAGGGCAATGTAGTAATTGCATGTTTATATTTACTTTTAATTATTAAATAATTTTAAAAACTCTCACCCAGATCCGGACTCCACCCATTCTCACCCCTCCGTTTCCGGCGACGTTCTCCACCGGCCCCAACCCGCGCCGCCGTTTCTTTTTCTGGCGGTGGGATTTTTTGTCCCCAAATAGCTATTTTGTGGCCTTAACAGCCACGGCCAGAGAGAGAGAGGAGGGATTTTGTGTCCCCAGCAATGGCTTCCAACAGCTACGGGGAGAGAGAGAGAGAGAGAGAGAGAGAGAGAGAGAGAGAGAGAGAGAGAGAGAGAGAGAGAGAGAGAGAGAGAGAGAGAACTTTTCCGGCGACGGCGGAGCAGTTTTCCGGCGACCAGAGACGGTGGTGGATGATTTTCCGGCAACAGTATTGAGTTCGTGATGTTTGTAATGTTTATATTACTATTTTGTATACATTGTAATGTTTGTAATGTTTGTTTGTCTAGTTTGTATACTTTATGTTATGATTTATACACTTTCTATTCATTGATTTGTATTTGTAACTTTTGTTATTCAAGTTTGTATACTTTTATGTTATGATTTGTATACTTTGTATTCATTTGTTTGTAATACAAGTTTACCAATCTGTATTGTAAGTAGTGATATTCTGTACGTGTAGTATGTTTTGTACTGTTTGTAATGTTTGTTTGTAATGTTTGTTTGCAATGTTTGTAATGTTTGTTATTTTGTAATGTTTGTAATGTTTGTTGGTTTCTTTTGTATTGTTTGTAATGTTTGTTATTTTTGTCCACATGTTTGTCATTTTTGTCAACCATGTTTGTAATGTTTTTTGCATCACAAATCAATACATATAAAGTATACAAATTATTAGTACTTACAATACAAAGCGAAACATACTAAGAATACAAGCAAAACATACTAAGAATACAAACTGTCAAAGAAAAACATACTAAGAGTACAAACTGTCAAAGAAAAACATACAAACCATACTGTCAAAGAAAAACATACTAAGAGTACAAACTGTCAAAGAAAAACATACTAAGAGTACAAACTGTCAAAGAAAAACATACTAAGAGTACAACTGTCAAAGAAAAACATACAAACCATACTGACATTTTGTACAAAAATACTAACAATACAAACTAATGTTACAAAACATACAAACTATACAAATCACTGTTCTTCCTTCATCACGTCGCTTCTCTCTCCATCACCGCGTCGCCGCCGCCGTCGCTGCCGCCGACTCTCTCTCCTCTGTTTTCCGACGACGACGCCGCTAGATCTACTTTCTCTCTCTCGCCGGAAGAAAATTGCATCGCCGTTCGTTGGAAAATCGCCTGGTCTTCGTCTGGAGGAAATCGGCTCGCCGTCGCTGGAGAATCGCATCTCCCTTCCCTGGAGAATCGCCTCGTCGTTCGCCGGGAGAAAACCGCCTCGCCCTTCGTTGGAGAATCGCTTCGCCGTTCGCCGGGAGAATAGCCTCGCCGTCGTTGGAGAATAACGTCGTCGTTCGCGGGGAGAAAACTACATCGGCGTTGCTGGAAATCGCCGATCGCGGCAAGACTCTCATCTCGCTGCGTTTCCTCCGCCATGGCTCTCTCTCTCTCTACATCACAAAAAAGGGAAAGTAAGGAGACGTGTTGCAGAGGAAAAAAAAATTCAATAATAAATAAAATAAAATTAAAAAATAGGAGTTAATAAATTATTGATAATACCAAAACTACCCTTCTTATTTAATAATAATTGATTGAGTTATCTGGACCATCAGATCAATCCAAGGGCTGAGGGGGGCTTAGTCAAGTGACTAAGGACCCCCCCTTAGTCACCAGATCCGGACTCGATTATGTCCATTGCCTACATTGGGTGGTTTTATTCACGTGGCCACATTTTGTGTTGTTCTTTGCTTTCATTATTGGTAAACTGCAGCTGGGTTTCTGTTAATGTGGCTTATAATAGGTTTGCTTTTCCTTTATTTTGCAAATAGTAGGATTGCATTGCAGTCTTCTGTTGAGAAACATTGAGTATAGCTATTTGCATTTGGAACAGGTTCTGTTAAATTCGGCCGGTTTCTGCTGCAAAACTTAAACGAGAATGCTTATGGAGAAACCTTCTGCTAATTCGTTTCCCGCCTTCTCTATTACTGGCATCTGGCTTGCTTCTTTGTTTCTACTTTTAGTCCATCTGGTCAACAGTTAAGTACCTGTACAATGGGGAAAAGCTCACAGAACGAATTTCTCTGTATCAATAGTATATGCATGGAGCTAGCTGCATTTTGTTAAGATTGACTTCTGAGGTCATGATTATTAATTCAAGCAGATGCATTTGGGAAGTGTATATCGCTCTTCTGCTGATCTTATTTTGATGAAAACAGGTCCAGAAAGCAACCTGAAGAAGGCAAAAAGAGAGCTGGGGGTGGTTTTACCAAATTGTGTCGACTGTCTCCTCAACTTGAGGAGTTTCTTGGAGCTCCTGAAATGGCTAGAACAGAGGTATGCACGCTGCAAAAAACTTTGAAACAGATGCCTTTTAAATTTTGCCATCACCAAGTTCATGTGATTGAATTATGGAAGAGTTCTCAGCTCTCTTACTCTTTTCGCTAAAGGTGGTCAAACAATTATGGGTTTACATCAAAGAGAAAGAGTTGCAAGACCCGAGTAATAAGAGAAACATACTATGTGATGAACCATTGCGTACAATTTTTTGTGTCGACTCAATCAACATGTTTGAAATGAACAAAGCCCTCACGAAGCATATTTGGCCATTGGATTCAGATGATGGTAATGCTTCGACTCCTCTCTTTGTCATTATTAACTCAATTCTTATTAATTGCTTACCGATTCTCTGGTTCAACGCATTCAAATTGTTCTCGGAGCATCTCTCTTTATTTTTTTTTCTTTCTTTTTTGTTCTCGTCATTATATAGTAATTCCAGCCAAGACAGCTACACAGAAGGAAAAGCAAAAGCAGCAAGAGAGTGAAGAAGGTACAGATTGGCAGATCACTTTTCATTTGAATGATACTAGTGAAGCAGATGATGAAAAGAAAATGTTGAACAACCTCTCATACGTGTCGGGTTTTTTTTTTTTTTTTTTTTTTTTTTTATGAAGCGGTGGTATTTCATTTCATCAAAACAGAGCCAAGTACACTGCTGGCAACATCTCTGCCAGCTGAGAAAAGAGGAAAAACAACCCCCTGTACACTAAACAAAACCAGATCACTCAACTACTCAAAAGAATAAAGACACTACTGAAGGATCAACAACCACTTTTATATCACCCTGGACCCTCTGCACCAGCATTTGAAATTCACTTTTCCTCCCTGCGAATTTAATCAAACACCTTTCCCTCCAAGTCGAGGCAACAAGAGCCTGCCAAATCAACTTCCCAGCTTGAGCCGCAACAGTGGAACCTTTGAAAGCATTTAAAGCCCACTGAAGCTCTCCGTCCCACTGATCACCAGGAACACGATCTGCAAAATTACCAAACAGAACTGCAAACAGCTGCTTAAATCTTGAGCACTCAGCAAAAAGGTGTGATCTTGTTTCCAGATTGCAAGAACAGAAAACACATCCAACATCACCAGAACCCCCCCATCTTTGAACCTTCTCTCCAGTGACAATGTAATCATTAATAACCAGCCAAACAAGCACTTGATTCTTTGGAATACAAGTACCTTTCCAAACCAGTTTCCTCCATGGAACAGTACCCTGTTTTGGACGAAGCTCTTCCCAAATCTTCTTGATACAAAATTTCTCCATAAAAGCTCCTTTCCAATAAAATCCATCAGCAGCAACAGAAATCAACCCTCTGAGTTTGTCCCTGATTTTTAAGACTTTTTGCCAAAGCCAAGATCCTGCTTTAGAGGTCAGAGTCCAAAAGTCACCCCCTTTTATTCGATACTCCCAAAGCCAAGCAACCCATAGCGACCCTTGCCTAACCAACACAGCCCAGATATGTCTAACCACACAAGCAAGATTCCAAGAGTGCAAATCCTTAAGACCAAGCCCCCCTTCATGTTTAGGAAAAGTAATTCTAGGCCAAGCCACCACTGCTTTTCTCCTGGCCCCTTCACCCACACCCCATAAGAAATCACTGCACATTTTCTCAATAGCCTTAATAATTGCCTTAGGCAGAATGAAAATTGACATCCAGAAGTGGGCAAGACTAAACAGTACAGACACCACCAGTTGGAGTTTTCCAGCATAAGAGAGAGTTTTCGACTTCCAGCTACTAATTCTACTCATTACTTTGTCAATGAGAGGTTTACATGCCTTAATGGATAGTTTACCAGGGAGCAGAGGGAGCCCCAAGTATCTTACTGGCAATACCCCCAACTTATATCCTGAGTGCTGAGACATCAACAGCTGCCATTGCTCATCAATACCACCACAATAAAGTTCACACTTGGAAGGGTTTGACTTCAAACCAGACATGTAACGAAACTGATTTAAAACCTTCTGAATACACTGAATACCCAAATTAGAACCATCAGAGAATAAGAGGAGGTCATCAGCAAACATTAAATGAGTGATCTTCAGCCTCTTACACATGGGGTGAAAGGGCATAGCATTACTAGCAGCAGCCTTATTCATCAAACAAGAAAAGACCTCCATAGCCACAGCAAAGAGGTAGGGGGAGAGGGGATCCCCCTGCCGCAACCCTTTCTTGGCAGGGAAGAAACCTACTGAACCACCATTAAACCCTACACTGAACCTAGGTGTAGTAACACACATTCTCAGCCACTCAAGAAATTTAAGAGGAAACCCCATAGCTTCAAGCACTCTGAATAGGAAAGTCCAATTTACAGAATCAAAGGCTTTCATTAAGTCAACTTTAACTAATGAACGAGAGGATATATTCTTCCTACCATAATTCTGGACTAGTTCATGGGCCAGCAAGATGTTTTCCCCTATGACTCTTCCCTTAACAAAGGCAGTTTGGGACTCACTGATAACACAAGGCATAACTACACTTAATCTAGTGGCAAGTATTTTAGCTATGCACTTGTAGAGAATGTTGCAACAAGCAATGGGCCGAAAAAACTTCATGTCTTCTGGGCTAGGGACTTTTGGTATAAGGGCTAACAGTGTGGAATTGACACTAATAGGTATGTTAGATATCTGAAAGCAGTATAAAATAGCACTAGTTACCTCAGCTCCCACCACACTCCAAGCAGCTTGGAAGAAGCAAGCTGGGTATCCATCAGGACCAGGGGCTTTATCCCCATTAAAGCCAAACATAGTGGCTCTGACCTCCTCTGCAGTTACTGGTTTGCATAAATCAGCCCCCTGATCAGGATGCAACTTCTTTAACAGTAGATTTTGAAGCTGATCAACCTCAGGAGCAACCACTTCTGTATCTTCCTCTCCCAATAGCTTGATATAGAAATCTTCAGCTATCTTAGCCATACCCTCTAAATCAGTGACCCTATTACCAGCCTCATTTATAAGAGACCTGATCATATTCCTCTTCTGTCTAGATTTGACTGACCTAAAGAAATAGGGCGTATTTGAATCTCCCTCCTTCAGCCAAATTTCTCTAGATTTTTGTCTGAAAAACGACTCCTCAGCATCTCTTAGCTCTTTTGCTTTCTTAGAAAGCCTGATTTCAGCCTCAAATGTATGAGGGGAAGGGTTATTCAGAGCTGCTGCCTGAGCCAGAAGTAACTCAGAAGCTTTAAGCTTTACTCTTGTAGATATATCAGAGTATATCTCTCTATTAAGTTTCTTCAACATACCCTTCAGTAACTTCAACTTCTGACAAACTCTCACTAGAGGAGACCCCACTACTTGAGAGCTCCAAGCCTGTTTGACCAACTCCATGAACTGAGGATGCTGAATCCAGAATTTAAAAAACTTGAACATTTTCGGCAATGATTTCACTGAACAATCAGAATCAAGCAGGATGGGGCAATGATCTGAGACTGAAGGATCCAGGAGGTCCACTGTACTCAAAGGCAAGTCAGCCAACCATTTAGTATTTGGTCCCTGATATATTTACCTTGTTAAAGACAATTCAGTTCACAAACCATTTACAACAACACCCTCCTAAATTCTGACTTCCAAACGACAAATTCATGGAATCCAATAGTGTCGTAATTCATTGCTTTGCAAATCCTAATTTGAAGGATCCCTAAATTGTAATTATCTGTCATTAGTGGTCTTTCCTGGCACGATGAAATTCTTATTAGCCTTTGTTTGACCCTGTGCTAGAACCAGATGATCCAGGAAGGAAAGAGAAGCGGCAGAAAAGCGGAACCAAAGGATTTATGGCCCCTCTTCAGCTTTCGGATCCCCTAGTAAAGTTCCTTGGCACCGGTGAACATGCAATTTCTCGATCCGAGGTCATCAAGAGAATGTGGGACTACATAAAGCAGAACAACCCTTCAGGTATGTTGTTACCTTGGTGGAAGCTGGGAAAAACTGTTTAGTCAATTCATATTTCATCACTGAAATCTCGTCAGAACACTTGAAAGGATACAAAAACCGGATCAGAATTTATGCTTTGTACTCTGCTTTGTGTGTAGGATCCATCCGATAAGAGGACAATCATAATGCGACGAGAAGCTGAGAGAACTATTTGATGTTGATTCCTTCGTCGGCTTCACAGTTACGAAACTTCTATCAGCGCATTTCGTGAAGAGCTGACACGAACAATGGCTCTCTGTTCATCAACACATCTCGCCGAGGTTTTGATCAGAGGACACGACGAGTGCGTTCCTGTTTTTGAATGGTGGGTCTGACTTGTGAATTGTGATAGTCCCTCAGAAGAAGAATGAAGGGAAGAAGGAAGGGTTGGTGGCCTGAATTCACCGAGAGCTGGCTCTTTTGCTTTCCACCCTTCTTAGTTCTCATTCTGTAGTTTCTTCTTCGCTCTCACGTTTCTTGCTGTACATTTTCCTAGTCCACTTCCCCAGAAAACCACGGGGCAAATAGGAGATCGACTGCTTTTTCGTCTTCCTTCTGTAGGTGTAATGACAGACAGTCGTCCCTTTTTAACACAGTGCAAGTTTTCTTAGAAGTTGTCCAGCTCTTCCTTTTACCTTGACCAGTTCACCTGCCATGTTTACTTTTGGTAATATTACAAGATTGGAGATGACAGAGTAAAATTAAGAACGAACAAGAACTGAACGATTCTTCTTACTACTCGCCAGTACTCCAAACCCATTTGTTTGAGTTTAAATTTTAAAAATAACAGAAATTGAGTAGAAAAAGTATAATTCCATTGCCGGGGGTTTGAGTTTAAATTTTAAAAATAACAGAAATTGAGTAGAAAAAGTATAATTCCATTGCCGGGAATCGAACCCGGGTCTCCTGGGTGAAAGCCAGATATCCTAACCGCTGGACGACAATGGATTTGATGTTAATTTATGTGACAATTAAATATTTATTACAAAATAAAAGCTGCAAAGGTATGACTAAGAGGCACATCCGAACTTCAATTAGTTGATGCATATTTTGCCATCAGATTGCACGAGGTTACTTGTGCGAGCTTGCGGCATATTAGTGCCAAAACTGCAAACACCACCAAGGAATGAGTGATTCCTTCGAGGATTGGAATGTATATGGACTGTGGCAGTCAGTTAGGCCCATCAAAGAATAGTTTGAGTGGGCTATTTAAGATAAGTTGGACTCCCTTTGAGTGGATGCGCAACAAATTATCTTTGAGCCACGTCGAACGAAAGGGTGTGTTGTGAAACTCTATTTTCAAGAAGGATTTTTTTTATATATGTACGTAGTTATTTATAGTTGTATTTGTGGAATTTTTTAGAGAAATCGTCATAATAGTAATTATAATATACCTTAGATTCTCATAACATCAATACTCTAGTTCAAACATAATACAAAGAAGTGTGAATCGAGTAACAATCTTGTTGATTTAAAAAAAACAACTTTAGAAGCTCAATCAAATTGACATCGTGAAAGTTTCCATCAGCAAAACAAAAAAAACTTGTCTAAAACAAATTTACAACCTATCTATCCATATCCTCAACCTCAAGTAATTTGATCTTCACATTTACAAGTTGTTCTTTACCGTATGTATATGTTCGGTTGAATCGTCTAGACCCAATCAATTTCCACCATTCATTCACAAAAAAAAGTCGAGAATCCAGTGCAAGAAGAAAAGGGCATCTCATAGTTCTTAACAAACCCCCTCAAAAGAAGTTGAGAGCAGAGAGAAGAGAAGAGAGTGAGAGAGAGAGATGGAATCCTTATCTCCAACGAAGACACCATCACACAAACAGACAGACAGGCTCCACCTCAGCCAAAAAAAAACTGCCACCAGACCAGATAAATACTAAATAATATTATCGGTGGAAAAATGTATAAAAATAGGGGTAAATAAAATGGAGAAAGATTCCAGAGAATTTTCCAGAATTAATAAAGAACTCTCACATGCTGATTTCGCGGTGGGATGCTCGGTCGGTCCCCGGAATCTCTCGTCGGGTTGCAGCGGAATCCGAAACTCTGGTGCGGCCTCTAGCCCTCTACTTCCACCTCGGCTCTTTTCTTTTTTTCTTTTTCCCCCCTTTTTTCTTTATATATTAATTAATTAATGTTTTTATATTATTTAGGCGGTGGCCGCAACGGACGGCAGACAGTCAGTTGCACTAACAACCAAAAGGAATCTCACCGCTCATTCATTAAAGTCCTCCTCCCACCTTGCCGCGTGTCCTCCTCTGGTTAGTTCTCGTAGCCGCTTTCTTTTGGCCCTTTTTTTTTTTTTTTTTCTCAATCCTTTCTTTCCTCTGTCGTTAGACTCTATCCGCGGCTCAATCCCTTTTGCTTCATTTCTCCTAAACCGGGTTTCGTTGGTCACAAAATTGTTTTGTCAAGTGAGTCGAATCAGAGTTTGAGATAGAAGAGCAAAAATGGGGGTGGCAACGGGTATCTCAATACTAAGATTCATTTCCTATTAAGTACGGATTAAGTAAAATGACGTACGGGGATAAGTTTGGGGTAGATCAACCCATTTTCACATGTTAATAAAACAACACTTCATGAATGCAAAAAAAAAGATGATAATAGAATAAGTATTTAGTCTAAATAATCGAAAGATCAAAATTTGTACCTATTTATAGTATAATTGAGTGAAAAAATGATTGAAAAAAGTCAAAATAAGAGAGAGTCGAATATATCTCGAGAAAAATTGGGATAGAACGAGTCAAGAATGGGACAAGACATGAGCAGTAACTCTTGGCTCACCCGTACACGGGTCGGGTAATAATCGGCGAGTCAGGTTCAAATTTTCATACCAAGCAAAAGGTTCATAGTTCATTAACTAACCGAAATTGAAGGTAATATATCGCTAAAATATCATATAAAAAAATAAGAATAATATAAGTAAAAATGTAAAACACAGATAATGACATAATAAATCACAACAAATTACTTTGAGAAATTTGGAAGGAATTAAAATGATTGGTAACGGGTAAGTATGCAAGAAAAAGAAAACCGTTACTAAGTATTTTGAAACGTGATTCGATTACATGTAACATTTGGTTCAATGCTACTCAATACTAATCATGAGTTGTCTTGTGAACTTCACGTTATCTACTTATTTTAATAAGCCTATTTGCACCCAATTACCATCTATTCCCTTAGTAACAACGAACGACCCTATCTCTTCATACTAGGTTAGAAGAAAAATGTTTGGCTAATCTCTATCCTCTTGAATGATCTTAGCATATGCTTGCACTTTTCTTGATATTATTTACCCATCTACCTCCATAAACATCTTCATGTTATAATAATGAAGACCTAAGAGTAGTATGTTTCTTTATGTTAAGCCGAGTTTTGGACTATTCCTTTTAAGTTTTAACGTTTCACCCACATTGAGGAAGGAATCTTTCACATGCCTCACAATCTCCCATTGCTTTCTCATGTTATGTTTCCCCTCCAAAATTTGTCTGTTGCCTTTGCCATCCACCATCGATATTTTCTTTCTTTTTTGCGGTTGTGGTTAGTGTAAAAATTGATCGCTGTTTGTAGGACCCTTTAAACTTATTTGATTCCGTTGTACGAGAAAGAGACAACAACAACATGATTGATTATCCAAAAAAGTGAATTGAGACAATATGGGGTTTAATCACCTAAAATGATTAGTTGGGTATTTGGGAGCTTGTTTAATTCAAAAGAGTAGCTAAACATATTTTAGACTGTTTTTTTTTTCTTTTTTGAAAAGGTTCGAAAAAATAAGTTATAACATAAACAAATCACCCGTCAACTTTGATTTGCAGATTTTTGTGAAATCCAGTTTCAAAAAAAACTTTATAACCATAAAATATTAGTTACTAACATCTTTAATAAAATAAATCTACCAAGATTCATTTTACTATTTTTTAAATTCTGATTTTTTTTTAATTGCTATGCTTGTTAGTCATTTGATATCCCTTATCAGTTTAAAATAATTTTCTGAATAATTTATCAACCAAATCACTTAGCTGTCTTTTAAACCACGTTTCTCTAAAGGTTTCATTTGGGAACTTGTTTTTATAAAATCTCCACAATAATGCAACTTCGCGAACACTAAATTGATAGTATGGTTATGGCGTCGAACGTTGGACTCAGTTGAGATCTTTGATTTAACGCCCTTAAGAGGCAACTCTCCTTCTCTTCTCTCTGGCTCCGACTCTGTTGTGACACCCATAAACAAAATGGATAACCAAATGAAACAAGTTTTGAATTCATACAATAAGTGGATTACAAACACGTTAAATACATCTACAATGCAGCGAATCGTCAAATGCTTTCTTCAAATTAAGAGGTTAGACTCACTCTTATATAGACCGAAAGAGGATAATTTTAAAGCAAATCATGTAACACACCACACCACACCACACCACACCCTTGAACCTTCACACACTAAAATAGACTTTCCAAATACTTGATTGGTCTACGAGCTCTTGTACGAACCTTGGAATACGGGTGAATCTCATCTATTAACATTACTAAAAGCAATTTATAAAACACTTTAGTTTCAAACCATTTCTTTATTTTCAAAGCGGGTTAATTGCATGGTTGGTCATTGAGATTACAAAAAAACGTTCATGTTTGGTCACTGAAAATATTTAAATCCAGTCTTGGTCACTCAAATTAGTTAAATGATTCAAGTTTGGTCACTCTCCGTTAACTCCAGCTTATGTGGCAGTCAACTTTCACAGTTGACCGTTAAATACGTGACGTGGCAATTAAAAAATTATTAAAAATAAAAAAAAATAAACTTTTATATTTTCCACCTCATTATTACCTTCATTAAAAATAAAAAAATAAAAAACCTATAATTGCTCCTAGCTAATCTCCGACCACTCGCCTCGCAGCCCAGCGACTCCCGATTCAGATCGCCGAGTTTACAACAGCTCGCCGCCGCGACGTTGAAGTGGAGCGCGATCCCGAGTCCCTCCGCCGCGACGTTGAAGTAGAGCGCCTTCCCTTCGCAGTTCCCACCCGCCATTTCCTCAAACTTTCTTCCTCCCATGTCCTTGTCCCTTTCTTCATTCCTTCAACCATATAACAACCAAATTCCCCCCATATCTCCTCAAACACCACCCACTCCTCAATTTCCCAAACCCAATTCCAATTTCCAAACCACCGAAACCAAGAAAATGGCGACAAGAGCCGGGGAGTTGTTCGAAGATCGCGCTCCACCCCCTTTCATCAATTGAAAATAAGAGAAGAGGAAGCAATTATGAATCTAAGTGGAACTCAAAGCCGCAAATCCACCCCCTTTCATCATCTGCTTGAACTCCTTGAAATTGACCATCCCGTCACCGTCGACGTCGACCTTCCTGATCATCTTGCGGCAGTCCTCGAGGGTCCGGCCCTGCTTGCGGCAGTCTCTCTCTCTGTTTTTTTCTCCTCCTCGATCGAATTGATTCAGGGGAAGTTGGGCTTTTCTGATGGATTACAGGGTACAAGGAAGGAAGTATGATGATGGAGGTTGGAAATTAAGAGCAAGGTATAATTAGGAATGAATGGGATTTGCTTTATGAGGGGCTTGGGATAGCGCTCCACTTCAACGTCGCGGCGGCGAGCTATTGTAAACTCGACGATCTGAACCGAGAGTCGCTGGGCTGCGAGGCTGAGTGGTCGGAGATTAGCTGGGAGCAATTATAGGTTTTTTATTTTTTTATTTTTTAATGAAGGTAATAATGAGGTGGAAAATATAAAAGTTTATTTTTTTATTTTTAATAATTTTTAATTGCCACGTCACGTATTTAACGGTCAACTATGAAAGTTGACTGCCACGTAAGCTGGAGTTAACGGAGAGTGACCAAACTTGAATCATTTAACTAATTTGAGTGACCAAGACTGGATTTAAATATTTTCAGTGACCAAACATGAACGTTTTTTATAATCTCAGTGACCAACCATGCAATTAACCCTTTTCAAAGCAGTTTCAACTTTCAAGCCATTAGTACTAATCAACTTGCTAAAAGTTCATTACTAGAAGCCAAAAGCCATGATTATCATAATCCCCATTACAGCTTGCAATGCAAATCCCAGAATATAATAGCATCAGATTCTTGGCATAAAAGAATTGAAGGTTAGCCTAAAATTGATTGGCCAGGTAGATTCTGTCCTTATTTAAAGCGTTGCGATTTTGGAGTTTCGCTTTTAATTAGAGTAGTACCGTGATCATTTTGGACCACACATGGGAAACGGAATAAGAATATCGCAGAGACCCCTTTTGCCTTGTGACAAATTTACATTTAATTATGAATTGGTGCAAAGTTTCACCTCTCTTAGACTCTTACCGATCCAACCCTACGCGTAACATCGTTAAGAAAACATGTAAAAATACAAATAGTATACAAAATTTACGTGTTTTTAAGGTCAGGTTTTCTGCCTTCCAGCGTCACTTGTGTGGGATGGTGTGTTGCTGTTGCTGTTGCTGTTCTGAAGTTGCTGCTCTGAATCCGAATCCAGATTGGAGAAGGAAAAGAAGTGATCTGGGCGCCTGTTTTAAGTGGTCTTAGTAATAGACATCAAAACTACGTCGTTTGTTGTTTTATTGTTTTAGTCCTTGAGTTTTTTGTTTTATGCCAGTAGGATCATTTAGCCGTTGTGGCTGTTAGCAGAAGCAGGGTTAATTGGTTCTACTTTTCTGGGATCGTGGAGATTGGTTGTTGAGACGAAGCCGAGGTTAATGGCTTCTGTTAGAGAGTCATGTATTTATATTTCACCTTCTTCAATGAATAAGATGTCAGTTTGCAATACATCTCGTGATAACAAAGTGGTATCAGAGCGTGAGTGCGAGCTGTAACCAAGGTGAGCTGTGTGATCTGTGAGTGAAAAGAGAAGTCTTCGTGAGTGTCTGGGTTGGGAAATACGAGAGATCAAGTGCAGTGAGGTAATTCCTGGTGAGTGATTAATCATGAGTGAAAGCAGCTTCGCCAAGGTTTGCATACCCAAATTCGATGGGGATTTCGATCACTGGAGCTTGCTGATGGAAAATCTGTTGCGATCCAAAGAGTATTGGACAGTAGTTGATGAGGGAATAAAGGAGCCTGCACCGGGAGAACAGTTGACTGAGACTCAACAGAAGGGTCTGGATGAGAAGCGGCTGAAGGATCTCAAGGCAAAGAACTATTTGTTTAGCTCTATTGACAAGAGCATACTGAAGACTATCAACCAGAAGGCAACAGCCAAGGAGCTGTGGGATTCCATGAAGACAAGTTATCAAGGCAGCGAGAGAGTGAAGAAGTCGCAGCTACAGAATCTCAGAAGAAGTTTTGAGCTGCTGCAGATGAAGGAAGGGGAGTCTGTTGCAGACTACTTTGGCAGAGTGATGACAGTGGCTAATTCCATGAGGAATTGTGGAGAGCTGATGCCTGATGTGAAAATTGTGGAAAAGGTATTAAGAACTCTGACCACCAAATTCAATTACACATTTTGTTCCATTGAAGAATCCAAGGATATAGATGAACTAAGTGTTGAAGCCCTGCAAAGTTCTTTGCTTGTTCACGAGCAAAAGTTTGCTAAGCCCACATCAGAGGAAGAACAGGCCTTGAAAGTGATATTTGAGTATGGTGGAAGAGGTGGAAGAGGATCAGGAAGAGGAATGTACCAGGGTAGAGGAAGGGGTAGAGGAAGAGGATTGAATCGTGACTTGGTAGAATGCTTTAAGTGTCATAAGCTGGGCCATTTCAAAGCAGAATGCCCTGAGTGGTATGGCAATCAGCAAGCATACTATACCAATCACTCTGAAAGATCTAAGAACACCTACCCTGATATGACTGAAGATGTGTTATTGATGGCTTTTGTTGAGCAAAACCAGGAGAAGAAGGAGGATATGACTGCACAGAGCTCCATGGCACTGCTGGACACATAGTCCTCTGAGCATAGGGACACCTGGTGGTTCCTGGACTCTGGCTGCAACAATCATATGAGTGGTGAAAAGCAATGGTTCACCTCAATGGAAGCCAGTGATGACTGCAATGTGAAGCTGGGTAACGAGACCAAGTTGGCAGTTGTTGCAAAAGGCACAATAAGACTGGTGGTTGATGGAGTCTCACTATCCATCAGTGATGTATTCTATGTGCCAGGGCTCACAACTAACCTGCTGAGTGTTGGCCAGTTACAAGAAAAGCAGCTAAGCTTTGTATTCCAAGGAGGAATCTGCAGGATTTATCAAGAAGAAAAGGGCTTCCTACTGCAAACATCGATGAAAACCAACAGAATGTTTGTTCTGCACTCTCAAAAGCAGACAAACAGCTCGAGTGGGGATCATTTATGTCTGTATCAGAAGGAAGCAAGCAACACACTGAATCTCTGGCATAGGAGATATGGTCATCTGAACTGTCAGAGTCTATTGCATATAGGGATGGCAACAAAACCCGAACCCACGGGTACCCACCCGACCCAATCTGGGCAACGCGGGTAAAATCCGTGTCGACGGGTTTTGGGCCGGGTTTGGGTTTAAACCCGCTACATTATTCACCGGGTTGGGTTTGGGTTTAGGTAAACCCGCCCCATGGGTACCCGCTCACACACATATAATTACTTTCTCGGTATATTTAATATTCTAAGTAATATATCTTTTCTAAACAACTTATTCTTTACGTTTGTAGAGACATGTATAATTTGTGCTTTCTAATTGTTTAGAATGAAGTTGATATTATGAAGTTGACGAGGAAGAAACTTTCAATTAATCTTGTGGTTTATAGATGTTTATCTTTAATTTTGAACAATTTATATTGATCATTTGCGGTTTACTTGTATGCTCTAGATTAGTGTTTTTTGTATGAATAATTTGTATGAGAAAATTGATGTTAAACTTTTATTTTGAAAGAAACTTGTTATTGTAAATTTTTTACCACAAAAACCCACGGGTACCCATGAACCCGCGGATACCCAACGGGTTGGGTTGGGTTTGAGTTTTTCAAACCCAGCGGGTTTTACCCCGGGTTTTTTTGGCGGATAAACCCATGGGTTTGGGTTTGGGTTTGACAAAACCCGCCCCAACCCGACCAATTGTCATCCCTAATTGCAGATGCAAAAGAAGGGTGATGTGCAAGGCCTGCCTCAAATACAAGGTGATCTGGGAATCTGCTCCACTTGCCAGATTGGTAAACAACACAGAGGCAGTTTTCCAAAGCAAAGCTCTTGGAGAGCCAACAAGAAGCTTCAATTAATCCACGCTGATCTGTGTGGACCAATCACACCATCCTCAAATGGAGGCAAGAGGTACATTCTGACAATCACTGATGACTTCAGTAGGAAACTATGGGTGTATTTCTTAGAAACAAAGTCAGAAACCTTGAATTGTTTCAAGAAATACAAGGCTCAAGTGGAGAATGAAACAGGAGAATCAATTGTATGCTTTAGAACTGACAGAGGAGGAGAGTTTCTTCTAAATGAGTTCAAAGAACTACGTGAGACAGCTGGGATAAGAAGGCAATTGACTGCTGCATTGACTCCCCAGCAGAATGGGGTTGCTGAACGAAGAAACAGAACCATCATGAACATGGTTACGTGTTCACTGGCTGACACCAAAGTTCCTGCTGTATTCTGGCCAGAAGCAGTGGCTTGGACCTGCCATGTATTGAACAGAAGTCCAACTTCTGCCAATGCAGGAAGAACACCACAGGAACTCTGGACAGGTAAAACTCCATCTGTTGGCCACTTTAAAATCTTTGGATGTGTGGCATATATGCATATAAATGATCATTTAAGGAAGAAGCTAGATGCCAAGAGTACACAGTGCTACTTCCTAGGCTTATCTACTGAGTCTAAGGCATATAAGTTGTATAATCCTGTTACCAAGAAAGTTCTAATCAGCAGAGATGTGATCTTTGATGAGACCAAGGGTTGGGAATCAGAAACACAACCAGTGGAAACCAGGATAATGTGGGATGGCAGTGATGAACCATGGTATGAGTCAGAGGATGAGGAGGAGTCTGTCACTCCAGCTGCAGCAGAATCAGTCAATCCAGTCACACCTACCACTCCAGCAACTCCTTCAGCACCTCCGAATGAAGGGGAGGAAGATGATGATGAGGAACCTAATTCTGATGTGCTGGGACTTCCTAGTGGAGGGGGGTTTAGGCCCCGGAGTCAGACATCCACCTAGTCATTTGTCCATATATGACTGCACTTATTTTGCAGGATTGGACTTTGCAGGATTGGAGTGCCTTGTGACAGTCAGTGATGATCCTGATAGTTTTGGAGAGGCTGTGCAGGATGAGAAGTGGAAAATTGCTGTGAAGCAGGAGATGATTAGCATTGAGAAGAATGACACATGGGTGCTGGTGGAATTGCCTACATGAGTGATTCCAATTGGGGTCAAGTGGA